TAGCAGATTTGCCCAATGCAGCATGCCACTTGCTCTCTTGATGGCTGCTTCCACGAGCATCGATTGCTGGTGTCGCTTCCAGCCGGCTGAGAATCTGCCACGCTGCCCCACGCACCTGGCATCGGCCTCACTGTAATACTCCCGGGCCACGATGTCTTCAAACAGCTCCCCACCGGTGACCCTGCGGACACAGGCAGGGAACCGACACACCTCAGAAGCTGCAGGTGCAGCCTAGTGGACAGGAGACCCCAGGGAGTGAAGGGCGGGTCCCTAGTACCTGAGAACCTCAGCCCCCAAAGGAGGGGGCTGGGGCCAAACTCCTGGGGGCCAATTGGGCGTCCCTGCTGCATTCCCATGACTAGTGTCCCACCATACACGCTCCCACTGACCCCCAGGCCCCCTGCCCCTCTGTCCCCTGGCTTCTCCTCGGGTTTCGGCTGGCCATGGGGCTGGGACATTGGGAGCACATCACTCAAGTAGCTGGAAACTCACAGCTCCACAGTCACACGTGAGCCCGGCATTGCCGAGGCTTCCTGCCAATCTGAGTGCCACCAAAGCCTATTGTTTTGTGGTTACTTTCCCTTAAATCGCGGGCACTGAGCATGTAATTATATTCCAGAAGGAAACTGTATCTGGCGGCTGTCAACGGGAAACCAGCCCCAGTGGCCATCAATCGACAAGAGAGGCAAACAAGTCTCGATGGGGCTGGCTTCCCAAGGGTGAGTATGTTTGTCGATGCAGCGGGAAACCGAGTTTACAAAGCTCCTGGACCAGAAGGGGGGTCTCAGCCCAGCCCAGGACACTGGGGACTCCTCAGCCCAGGGACCATGCAGGTCACCCCTGCCCAGGCTGCCCGCCTCCCCAACCTTTGGCCCATGCCAGGCTGGGGCCAAACTCACAGGTCGAAGATCAGGTAATGGTGTCCCTCCTCGGAGATACTGTCGTGGAGCCGCACTGTGGAGGGGCACAGGCAGCCGGTTACTCCTGGGTCCATGGTGCACCCCCCACCCCACCCCAGCGCACCCTCCTACAGCGGGCATGCCGACTGCTCAGCCAGCCACCGAGCGTAAAGGAGGCACCGGGTGCCTTGACAAACACCCACCCCAGCACCGTGTGCTCAGATATCTGGATCGCAAGGCAATGGACCCCTGTTCTGATGACATGCGCCCCGCCCTGGCCTCTGCCTTTCTGCGCCTTGGGGCCCACGCCCAGCCTTGAGAAGGGAGCTCCTGGACTGGCTGTGGGAGTTGGGGAGGCATACAGTCTGTGCTCGCTCGGCGCCAGCCAGGGCGCTGGACCAAGGGTCCCCGGTCATCTCTTCACAGCTCATTTACCTAGAACAGGGGCAGGGCTCGCTGGGGCCCAGTGCCCTGAAAACTGCCCTCCGGGCTTCCAGAGCCGAAGGGGCTGAACACTCAACGCAGGCTGGGTTCCCAGTACGGGTTCATGTCGGCCCTGAGCCCCACCCTGAAAACACCCCTGCCTGGGGCCGGCTCCGTTCAGCGACGATGATCGAGGATGACCGAGCTGTGAATCAGGGCAGTGGTGACCTGCCTGTGGGGCCGAATCCTCTCCAGATGCACTGCTGGGCAAGGAAGCAAGGGACAGAACTTGTACCCAGGGCGTGCGTGTGCACATGTGCAATGTACTTCTCTCTGGAGCCACAGGAAGCCGACAGTGGGGGTGCGTTTGGGGGGAAGAGATGAGGGAGAATTGTTCACGGGTGACAGAAGACCCTTTCCCCCCCACAAGCCCACATGGGCGTGACCATGAGCCTGAGTTTGCAACTCACTCCTGAGTCTCTGGGTTTGGGTAGGCCGTCCTACCTGTACCTGCGGTTTGGGGAGTGGGTAGTGAGTAGCCAGAGTGGAGCCCAGTCTGTGAACACCAGGGGGACGGACAAAAGGAACACAGTTTTCAGTGAAAAACTGAAACAAAATAAAAAGCCTTCAACAGTGATCCGTGTTTATCCGTAATTGCTGAAAGATGTCTTATATAGATCTCCTGGTGCAGAAAAGCAGGTTGTTCCGAGTGCCTGCGTTTTGCTGTTGGGTGTGATCGATAGAGTAAGTTCTAACCCTGTGCACGACAGATCAAAACACTGCCCGGTCCTGCGCCACCCTCACAATTGGTCCTGTGCCTGAGCCTCTTGTTGAAGCCACAGGGTCAGCCCATCGCTTGAGGGGATTCCTGCCTCTCTACATTACTGATCATAAGGTCCTTCTCCAGGGACAGTTCTCTTTTGACCACGTGTCCAAAGGACGCGTGAGGCAGTCTCCCCAGCATTGCCTCTAAGGAATATTCTGACTGTACTTCTTCCGAGACAGATGTGTTTGTCCCTTGGGCAGTCCGCAGCACTGTCCAGAGTCTCCTCCGGCACCACAATTCAAATGCATTGATTCTTCTTCTGTCTTCCTCACTCGAAGTCCCTGCACACGAGGGAACTGAAAATGGCCACCACTCAGTTGGGCATATTCTTGATGGTGTACCTGTCTGTTTCCCATGCCCGTCGCTTTCTCTTTGACACATATACTGAATCAAAGTTTTGTCTTCTTCTCATGGAAAAAAAAAAATCCCCCGGCTTGGGTCAGGCGCACCTTCATCCTCAAAGCAACACCCTTGCTCTTCAGTACTCCAAAGAGGTCTTGGTAGCAGATTTGCCCAATGCAGCATGCCACTTGCTCTCTTGATGGCTGCTTCCACGAGCATCGATTGCTGGTGTCGCTTCCAGCCGGCTGAGAATCAACAGGACCTCTCACTACTCCAACAGAAGAGAGCAGCTGCAGGGGGCCCTGTGGCTGTAATCTTTTGGAAAGGACCACAGCGCCAGGCTTGTGTCCTGTGGATCTGCTGCCCGGGCTTGAAGCAGGGACATCTCAGTGAGCTGTGGAGCGCTCGCCCATCTTGCAGCCAGGGCTTCTTCCCAGCACCTGTGACACTGCTTCCACTCTTATCAGCAAGTTACTTAAAAAATCTGCAGACATGCAGTCAAGGGGACATGCTGTTCCCCCTAGCTGCTAATCCCTATCCACCCCCTCTTCTGGAGAACGACCCTCAGCACAGGGAGCCACCTGGCCCACAGGGATACCTTGCAGCCTTCAGCTAGTGACTGGGGGGAGGGGGAAGGGTACAAGGTGGTGCGAAGGAAGGACTGGTCCCCCTGTCCATGTGGTTCATGCTTCTGAGACACCCCCTCTCCCCGACTCGGATTGAGACTTGACCTGAGACCACAGGTCTTGCTCAGCTCCTTCTCCCCACCCAGCTTCACCCTCCCAGGTGTCCCGAGGGAGCATCCCTCAGGAAACCACCACGCCCTGAGTCTCTCCCTCAGGCTCTGCTTCCAGGGACCTGTGTGCACACTCACGTAAGAGGCAAGCATGGAAGCATATATCATAGAATGTTAGCTCTAGATCACAGCTTTTTAAACTTATTTGGCCTACTGCCCCCTTTTCAGAAGAGAAAATTACTCAGTGCTCCCTGGTGGTGATAGACTGGCACTATGGTCCATAATGGGAGATGAAGTGTAGGTATCTGTTTTTGCAGCCCGCGCCCCACCCAGATAGTTCCAGCAGCCCTCCCAGCTGGTGGAGTTATAGAGGAAAATAATCCCCACCCCCATGGTGGTCAAGGTGATTCCAACTCTTAGCAACACTGTAGCACAGAGTAGAATTGCTCCCTGGGGTTTCTGAGGCTGTGAAACTTGACAGAAGCAGACAGCCTCACCTTGCTCCATCAGGGCAGCTGGGGGTTTGAAACCATTGACCTTGCAGCTCAATTCAGAACCAACTATAGCACTAGGCTCCCTAGGGATTATAACTCAACTCAATTCTGGTTCTTAGTGACCCTATAGAACAAGGTAGAGCCCCCCCCGGGATTATAACTCAACTCAATTCTGGTTCTTAGTGACCCTATAGAACAAGGTAGAGCCCCCCACCCCGTGGGTTTCTGAAACTGTAACTTCATGGGAGTAGAAAGCCTCATCTTTTTCCTGCAGAGCAGGCTGGTGGTTTCAAACTGCTGACCTTGCACTTAGCAGTCCAACTTGTAACCACTAAACCCCCATGACCCCTCTCCTAGGGATTATAGGAGATAATCCCTTTGTACAATGATCTGTCTCCTCGCGTATCTGTAATTCACATGCTTTATTTGTGCATCAAGATGAAGTTCTGGGGAAAGAGCTCTCCATTCCCCGTCTTCCTCCAAGTGGACTCTTGGTCAGCATGCCCCATGCCCTAGGCAGCTGCATGAGTCTTCCTTTCTCGAGTGTGAGAAGCTTTGAGAAGCCAGCGGTGGCCAGACTCATCTCATAAGGTCTCTTAGAATGGGTCAGTGACATTGTGGGAGGGCCTCCCTCCACCAAAGACTGGCTTCCCAGATCCGTCCTCTAACCCCATGCCCACATCTCTCTAGGGGTCCTCGGAGCACAGGGAAATAGACAAGGCTGGCGTCGACCTGGTATTTGCTGTCCCTGGCTCAGACAGTGCCTGTGTGCTGACTATAGAAGGTGTCCCTCTGAGCATCTGGTGAAGGGAGCCCGCGGGACTCCAGCCCCATCAGGCAGTGCACAGCCTATGTCGCTGTATCCGGGATGGCTGAATCACAGTGGGGAGTTCAGGAGACAGGATCCCTTGTCTCGATCCTGTTTCCACACAGAGTGCCCCTCTTCTCTTGGCCACAGCTGCCCAGAGCAATGACTCTGGCCAGTCGAGGGGCAGGCCGTGGGGCATGGTCGTAATGGTCCCTCCTCCCAGTGGAGTGATAGGTTTGTCTGTGAGGACTGAGTGGTGCTGTCACTTTTTGACGTTTGAAAGCATTGTCGTAGAACAAACACATCTGTCACCCACTTCTTTCTGAAGCTGGGCTCATGAATGTCTGGCATTCCTGCCCTATTTGTATCCGTACCCGGTTTTCTTGGATGTTGAAGGGAGTGTGCTTGCTCATCCACTTGGGAAGCTAAAATAGAGCGACTAAGAACATGCGCTCTGGAGTCAGACTTGATGGGTTCACATCCCAGCTCTGCTTCTTACTGGCTGTGTGACTTTGGGCAAATGACTTAGCCTCTCTGGGCCTCCATTCCTCACGACCCTGCTAAGAATCCCGCTGGACTGCCATGAGGAATTAATGAGAGGATGCTCATAAGGTACTTAGGACCATGCTCAGCACACGGGAGAGCTCAGGTGACAACGTCACCATCAACCAACCACACACCCCTCCTGACCCGACTTCTGCATTCTCACGTGGCTCCTGACACAGCCCACGGCTTCTGATCCTGGGGGTGGGCTTCCAGGAGCCTCCTCAATAGGCAGTAATAGTCCAGGAAGCAGGACGAGGGAGATAAAGAGACTTCGTACTCAGCACACCGGGACCAGCCCACGCTGCGCTGGAGACTTCCCGGGCCAGTCCCCGTGGCCAGGTGTAGGCAGCAGCCAGTGATCTTGGCTGGATTCTCTGAGCAGGTTGGCTAGGCCTCTGAAGGTTTCTCAGGTTCTGTACCCCTGTGCACCTCCTTGGGGCAGATTACAACTTGCTTTAAAGTGGATGCTTGAGGGATCAGGACGGTGGCAGAGGTTGCTGGCAGCAGCTGACGGTTCTTTGAGGGTTTTCCTGTTCTGAGATGCTCTGTTGGCCCCGGCAACATGTGCGTCTGCCTCCTCCATCACAGCACCCACTCCCTGGGCCTCCGTCCATCCACACGTCCCCAGAGCCTAGCAGCCACCCAGGCTCTTCAGAGGCACTTGTCACCGTCTGACTGAACGAAAGAGGTAATGGCTTGGCGAGGCTGACCATTTGGGAGAGGACAACGGACATCCTGAGCCCCCCATCTACCAAGCTCCGGCTGAGCGCTCTGCTTGCTGGGCTGGCACATCCTGGATGGTGAGCACAGTGGTGACCCCCATTTCACAGAGGAGGACCCTGAGGCCCAAAGAAGGCCATATAGCCTGTCTTAGTGCAAACCCCTAATAGATGGCAGAGCTCAGATCTGAACCAGGTGGGTCGGATGCCCAGTCTCCTCCTCACAACAGCCATGCTGCAGTGACCAGCTACCTTGAGGACAGAGAAACTATGGTCTTAGGGCAGGGTTTCAGGCTGGAGGGTCCTTCTTAAGTAAGGTTACTCTGTGGGGGAGGTGGAGGCCAGGGGGAAAATGAGATGGCTTGGTGACGATAAACACTTACCTGGGGACAACCCTGGTGCCATGTGTTATATAAACATCATCCCAGTCCTACAAGGGAGCTAGCTGTCCTTTCCACATTCCAGAGAAATCAGCTTCAGACTTGCTAAACAACATGCCTAGGTTCACCCAGCGATTGAGCAGCAGGCCCAGAATTTGAGCTGCAGCCTGTCAGCCTGCAGCCCATCACTCCCCGTCCCAGAATAGCTGGGCGTGAGATGGACCGGAGGTTGACCGGAGACGGCTGTAGTCCTGCCATAACACACACAACCCCTCCTCCTTCCTCCAGAACTGACAGCCTGTATAAGAACCATGGGCTTTAATAGTCGGCGATCACACGAACCCCCTCCGTCACACAGATGGGGAGCTGGAGGCTGAGAGAGGATGGGGGCTGCCCAAGGCTGCCCCGTGAGCAGGAAGCAGGTCAGGAAGCAGGTCCAAGCGGGGATTCCTCCCTGCCGGCCTCTGGCTGTCTTGTATAGCTTTGTTCCCCTTCCCCAGCAAGCTACGGGGCAGTGCCTTCTGGGTATAAATAGCAGGTGGAGGTGCCAGCTTGAGCAGCAGCATTAACCCTTGGGGCCCTGGGCAGTGGAGAGCTGCTGGTCTCCCAGAGGAAGAAGGCGTGGCGGCGGTCAGAGGTGGGGCATCCCCGAGAGACTGCCTGGACATTGCTTCCAAAGCAGTGGATCTGTCTATCAGCCGTGGCCTCAGCTGGAAGGAGCGTGTTAGACCTGTCCAACCTTGAGCTCCAGCCCCTGGGACCAGAAGCTGCCTTTGGCACAAGGCCCCAGTGGTTAAAGACGGGCAGCCCTCTCTGTGTGGACATGGAGAAAAGTGGTTCAGAGAGGGCAGCGCTCCTGCTCAAGGTCACACAGCCATTCCTGGAGGAACGGGGCCTGAAACCTGCACTTCTTCCCTTCACGATTCAGAGGCCTGGTGGGCAGGGGTGCAGCCTCCCACTCCCACCTTGCCCCAACTTGCAGGGGTGGAGGAGAGGATGTTAGGCAGTGGTTACCCACAGCTTTAGTGTTGGGTCAGCAGATGCCGCTGCCCTGGCCCTGCCCTGGTTCGCCTGCATGGCTGGCCTCTCCACGCAGCCCGCATGCGGTCAACCCCTGAGAAGTGGGCGGCAGGGCTAGGGAGGAGGCAGGGCCACAGTGCCAGGCTGACTCAGCATGGGGGTGGGCTTGGGGAGTGGGCTGCGCCATCCAGGCCAATCTTTTTTCCTCCTGGCCTATTTTTGTCTCTCTTGGAGCTCCAAGAGTTTCCCAGAAACAGCTTTTCCGAAGGCGGCTGCCGGCAGTGTAGGCAGGGAGCAAGGGCCCCCTTTACACTTCCCCCAACCAAGCTGGTCTCTGAGGAAGGTGGAGACCGTTAGACGCCCCCTCCTCAGCTCCCAGAAAGGAGAGCACTTCCTCCACCAACGCCCACATGCCCTTGCCCCTTGCTTCTCCGCTCAGACCTCTCACTCTCCCTCCCAGGGCTCACCAATGTTGGGGTGCTTCAACAGACGGCAGATGCGGGCTTCGCGCTCCAGCTTCTGATGATCTGAAAAACAGATGTCCAGGTGGGGACCAGGTAAGGACCAGGCAGGAGGCAGGTAAGGACAGGAGGGAGGGCAGATAAGGACCAGGAGGGGGGCAGATAAGGGCCAGG